GTGTGCCGGCGGCGCCCTGGTTCCCGCGCTGCTCCGCGGGCCGGCCGGAGGAGGAAACTCCTCTGGCATTCCCCCGTGGAGAAATCATTCCTGGTCTCATTCCTTCCACAGCTTCCTGCACAGTTCCACCTGCTCCCACCACGAGTTTACTGACGGGTGCGCTCGTCCTTCAGCGATTTCATCGGGAAAGGGTACAGACGCGCTTCTGCGGAAAACCACCTGGCATCCGCATGGCTCCGGCCATGCACAGGGACCCCGGCCCCAGGCTGGGCACGAACCCCCCAGGAGGGGCAAGCGGCCTGGCCGCCCGCGCAGGCCCAGCAGACGTTACCTCCCATCAGGTTTTTGCTCAGCAGAAACCAAGCTGCTGCTCTTGCGCTTGTGCAGGGAGATTAAAACCAGCAGCAAACCAGACGTGGACGGGACGCGGCGGTGCAGGAATTCACCACGCAGTTCTCCTTGCCCAGCCCAGCCGAGATCTCCAAAGCTTAACACAGTGAGCTTCCAGTTGGGCATCGGAGAAGGCAATTAACGATGGAGGAGCAGCAAGAACCTCTCCAGGAGACGCCCATTCGGCCGGTGTTGCTGGCTGTGACAAGCTGGGAGCCATCCCTTCCTTCCCAAGGTGCAGAGGTCTCCGTAGGTGCTGCCGGGCTTTCGGTGACGTGGGGACAGCCACACCGCCCGGGCCCGTGTTCCGGGAGCCAGCGTCACGACCACGGCCCAGGCAATACGTACGCACCAGGCTGGGCTGCAGCGACGCGGAGCGCGACACAGACCGTCAGCAGCTTCACCCGTCTCTACCCTGCGCTATTTTGAAGCCCACAAACAGCAATTCCTTGTCTGCACAGACCAAGGACCCCGCAACAGCAGATTCCCGAGCTAAACGCAGAGCTCCATCCACCGACTTCCCTTTCCCTTCGCTTCCACACCTCCCTCCATCCCAAGGCATCCCTGGGTCCAGCTCATGGTGCCCAGTGGTGCCTTCACGTGGCTGTTGCACACACATGGGTGCCGCAGACACCGCTTAGGCCGATTCCCCTGCCAGCAAAATCAAAAGCAAAAGGGTATTTTTTACGGTATCAGTGCATCACTTTAGTTACTGATGGGAGAGACGTCTAAAATGAAAAGAGATGGGGGACCCACGGGCTCCGAGTCGAGCGACAGCGGGACGCAGCGGCGCGGTCCCCGTGGGAACCTGGGTTCTCTGGGATGCCCACGGGTCACGCTCAGCAGCACCGCGACGGCTCCCGGGAGCGGCGAGGCCGGGCTCAGCCCCACGGGATCCCCTCTGGCATCGCACAGAGGAGCGGAGCCCTTCAGAAAACCCTGGCTGGGGGCGGTGGGAGCCAGATGTGCACACCCTGGGGCGGTGGGAGCCAGATGTGCACACCCTGGGGCGGTCCTGCAGCTGGGCTTCTGTTTCTGCAGAGCAAGTCTGCAGCATCTGTGTTTACCTCCACCGAGCCGGCAGAATCCCTCGCCAGCAAACACTCACCAGCTTTTTTCCAGATCTCTTCAGTGACGTAGCCCGTTCCTGACCTGCTGCTGAACTCCCGCAACGAATCTGCCGGAACAAGGGACAGGGCGCAAGGTTGGCAAAGCCTCGTCCCCCCCGGCTGCCGCTCGAGTGCCCAGCAGTGCCTGGCTACATCGTGGGGCAGGGCAGAATTAACCAGCTAAAGCTCAAAGCAGAGGATTCCTACAGTCAAAGCTATTCATCAAACACTCAGATGATAAATTACAACATTTAATTAGCGCCTTGCATAATTTATGACACTGTACAACCCATTCCCGTCTCCTGGTAGTCTGTAAGAGCAGGCGATGCTCACAAAGACACGCTGTCAAGCTTCTGCACCGTCCAGCGACTCCGAGCATCCGTCTGGACCAGCAGCAGCTCGCCTCAAACACGGCGCTCCCCGCTCCCAGGGGCAACCCACCGGCCTGAACTGACCCTGCGAGACCTCCGACGGCGAGGGCTGCGCACATCAGCCTGCGCAGAGCAGAGTGACACGGGGACGGTCACGCCAGGACCGAAACCCAGGCTGCAGCCACGCAGGGAAGCTTCGCCGAAGCCCTGTCCTGTGTTCCACCTGCAACCCCCTCTTTAAGGCTCCAGAGGAACTTTCTGCAGGGTCAAACCAAAAGCTGCTCCACGCCCCAGGCTGGTGGGAGAACACAGCCCTCCAGGGAGGCGGCGAGGTTCTTTCAGCCTGCGGCACGCCTGGGGACACCGCACCTTCCCACGACAGCAACAGAGCTCGAAAATTCACCCTAGGTCCCATGAGGGGAAAAAGCATCAACAGTGTTCCCAATTTATATATAAAAAAAAAATAATTCTATCACCTCTAACATGGGGCTGTGAGTATATCAGTCTCGATATGTGTAAACACAGCAGGGCTAAAGCGGGCTGTGCTCCCAGGTCGTCACGCACGCCCCGCCAGCTCGCCCCGCGCCGCTCTGCACTAACGGCTGAGCCACCGGCGCCTGGTTTTCAAAAAAGATGAATAATTCTACTTCAGTTCCTTCTGCCCGTGTCCTTGTTATTGTTTTCCCAGGAAATATTCCCTCTTGCTGCCTGGGAACCATCAGAGCTTGTTCCACTGCAGCTGAACCTGAGCTGGGCTCCGATTTGGAGGGTTCTTTTTGACATGCAGGAGGAGTCACCCTTCATTTTGTACACAACCAAGTTGAGTATGTATCAAACTGAGATTTTTAGTCTGACATTTATTCTTACTGTTAGAAAACATCCATTTTTTATTATCGAATGATCGAATTTTTTCAGCCTTTTATTTGCAGCATATTTGTCTGGATGAAAATCAGAATTACATACAGCTGCATAAAATCAGATTTTTAGCCTTGCTTTTTGTATAGGGTCAACACCTCTGCATACTGGAGGGGAAAAGTAGTTAGCTTCAATAAAGTGAAGTTGACTCACGATACAGAAATAGAATTATTAACTCAGGTAGTAGCTCTTACGCTGCGAGCAGTCTTCAGTATTTTTAGAATTAGTAGACTTTGACATTTAAAATCCTGTAGGCAAGAGAGACTGGAAGGGGGAGAGGGGTGGAACCAGCCACCTCTCCCACCTTCCCACCCTCCGGTTTCTCCGCTTGGAATGAGCTTGGCTCGGCCTGGTCCCCAGGGACAGCTCAGTGACAAGGAAGGTGCTCTTGTGACACTGCAGAAGGGGCTGCTGCTGCCCGAAGGTGCCTGCGGACGACAGCAAACGCCGCTTCCAGGAGCTCCCACCTGCCCAGGGACTTCTCTCTCTTCAAAGCTTCGAGAACAGTTACGCACTGCTGAAGTATTTAATTTATACTCTAATTTGAATATAGCACAGTGCGCCCGCGCCTCGCTTACCGCTGCCGAGGGAGTCGGAGCTGCCGGGGCTGTGCTGCCTGGAGAGGAGCTCGCCGCCCGCCTTCCGCGCCTCGGCCGTCTCGCTGCATCGCCTCTTCCAGTAGTTGAGCTCCTCCCGATCGGCCTCCTGGCAGCGCCGCAGCACGGCCATCGAGCGCCGGGTCTTCTCCACCATCTCCATGATGCAGTTCAGCGCCTGCAGGGAGGAGCGCGTTTGCGGTCTCGCTGCCCGCTCACGCGCTCACCGCCCGGATTTCTCATCGGAGGCACCGCGGGCACCGCCCCAGGGAAACGAGACGGGAGATTTCTCCGACGCAGGCTCTGAGCACAGCCCTTCACACGAGGCAGCACTCGAACAGGCAGGACGGGGTCCTGCACCCACACATGCGGCAGCACCAGCTGCGAGGGAGGTGACCACAGCCCCACCGCGGGGCTTTGCTCACCGTAGGAGGTTGGGGCCATGCTGCAGAAGATGGAGGTGAAAAAACCCCACTTTCCTATGGGAACAGGGTGTCCACGCAAGGGCTGGCTGTGATCCTGGTGCCAGCTCTCCACAGCCACATCCCAACCTGCAAATACTCAGCTACTGGGCCTCTACTCCACATTCGCCCCCCCAAACCCTATCAGCTTTAGAGCATAAGCAAGCATGGGGTCTCTGCGTCTGTGCTCAAAGCTGAACTTCAATCCCACCTCTTCGGGCGAAACACTCCAGTGCAGTGCTTGGGTGAGGAGCCTTGCTCAAGAGGGAAAAAGCAGACTGCAGAAAGCCTGCCAGAAGCCCCAAGTCTTGCTGTTGGCACCTAGTTGAGGCCCATAAAAGGTTGGCAGCGCAGGGAATAGTCTTTAAAAAATAAGGATGGGTTTATTTATTCTGTAAACTCCACATCCTTGCTGCACACAGCACATCTGTGCTCCTGTACGGTGTCGGCCTGGGCTGCTGCAGAGCAGCCCCGTGTGGGGACAACGGCTGGGCCTGGCTGCTCAGCCAGCCAGGGCAGCACGTGGCCGTGCTCTGCAGAAGCAGCTCCCCAGCTCCAGACGCTTCATCCAGAGTGATCTGGGG